TTGCTTACAAACTGTATGGCCGTGGCAGGCTTCTTGCTAATTGTTCTTATAGCTTAAATTAATCCATTTCCATAAATCTATACCTTGCCACGTGGCTCGTGGCTTACTGGCACCTTCACATGCTGCTTGTCTTGGCGGCGGCTGGCAGCGTCTCCTTCTGCCTTCCTGTTCTTTCTTTTCTCCTCTCTGTTAGTCCTGCCTATACTTCCTTCCTGGCCACTGGCCAATCAGTGTTTTATTTATTGACCAATCAGAGCAACACATGTGCCATACAGAACATCCCCCAGCAGAGCTAGAAACTCCTCTCTAAGCCCTGCTGTTCAAGGCTGCTGGGGATGGAGGAAGACAGTACAGTGAGTGCAGCATTGCCTTCCTACCTGGTATCAGGTTAGTGCCAACCAGGTGCTTGGTGTAAGGATAAACACACAGAGTCAAGTTGCTCCCATTAGTTCTGTGGGAGCCTTGCTCCTTGAGCACCTCCCAGGAGCCCGCCCACAGTCCTGGAAGTGCTACATTAGAACTTAAAGGCCTTGTTTTGTTTTGTTTTTAAGTATTTCTTTTTAAATTTATGTTATGTGTATGAGGGTTTTGCCTGGGTGTATGTTTGTGTACCATGCACATGCCTGGTGCCCCTGGAGGTCAAGAGAGTGTTGTATCTCTGGAACTGGAGTTAGAGATGACTGTGAGCTGCCATGTAGTTACTGGGAACTGGACCAGAGTCCTCGGAAAGAGCAGCAGGTGCTCTTAACCACTGAGCCATCTATCCAGCCCTTCATGTTCTTTTTGAACCAGATCTAGTGTCTTCTTAGAGAACTTTTTACAAACAAACAACAGCTTAGCTGGGTGTGGTAGCACGCCTTTAATCTCAGCACTTGGGAGGCAGAGGCAGGTAGAGCTCTAATGAGTTCAAGGCCAGCCTGGTCTACATAGTGAGCCCCAGCCAACCAAGGCAACATAGTGGAACCTTGTTTCTAAAAAAAAAAAAAAAACTTCTTTTTTATACATATGAGTGTTTTGCCTGTATGTATGTATGTACAGCATGTATGTAACACATGTTAGCTGTCAGAAGAGGGCTCTGATCCCCTGGAACAGGGGTTATACATACGGTTCTGAGCCATATGTGGGCGCTGAGAAATGAACCTAGGTCCTCTGCAAAAAGCAACAAGTACTTTCAACAGCTGAGCATCTCTCCAGTCCCAGAGGTCACCGTCATAATTGGACAAGTCTGGTTTTCACAAATGTGCAGAGTTCTGCAGCCATCACAACCTGAGAGTAGAACCTATTTCCCATTTGTTTGTTTGTTTGTATGTGTGACTATGGAGGCAAGAGGACGATTCATCGGGATTGGTTCTCTCCTCACCGTGTGGTCCTAGGGATCAAACTCGGGCCGTCAGGCTTGGCTGCAGGCCCTTACCCACTAATCATTTTACCAGTCCTAATTTTAGAGCATTTCTATGTCGATAGAAAAAAGTCCACACTAATTGTTGCCAACCTTCATTCCATCCCAGCCCTAGACAGCATCCCATATCTCTTTTGTAGCTCCATCTTGTGCATGTCCAGCTCATGGAATCATGTAAGATGAGGCCCTCCAAATTGATTTTTTTTCAAAGTAATATTTCTGTGGCCTCTTGCCTGGGTCAAGTAAGCCAAAGCTATTAATGATATTTACGTACTTGAAGTAGAAGTCTGCTAGCTTTAGCTATTGAAAAGGAGACTTTCAAAGTGGGAGGCCCTTCTTACTGCTCAATCATTCTTTAAAGTATTGGTCCTTAAAAATTTCAAAAGAATTTTTGTTGTCCTAGTTGAATGGGCTGAAGGGTGTTCCCCAGAGTCTGTCTTTCATAGCTCCATTGATCCCCATTTGCACCGTGGCACTCTTCCATGGAAAGTCCCTTGCCAGTTAATTCAGCTGATAAGGTTGTTTCCTCTTAGGCGCCCACTGCAGACTGCGATGATTCGTGACGGCCTCATCTTCTGGCTGATCGACCTTCTGAAGGAGCCCGACTGCCTGTCTGACTACACACTGGAGTACTCTGTGGCTTTGCTTATGAACCTCTGCCTTCGAAGTGCAGGTGTTACCGCCCTCCAACCCTCCACACATGCACACACCAGATACACATGCCCTGGCATGGAGCATGGCTGGGCAGAGAGCTGCCCACAGATCTGCATTCCCAGTAGCTGCCCATATATCTGCATAGCCCAGTAGGGCTTCCTTTTTGTCTCCCTTATGGAAAACTTAGGAGAGGGGTGAGTAAAGTGATTCTAGCTAGGCATGAAGCTAGCCAGCCCTTAAAACCAAAATACCGTGTTACCCTTAGAAAGAATCTGTGTGCAGTTTCGTGTTTATACGGTGCCCTCTGAGGAGCAGGGCAAAGCCAGTCACATTTCTGTCAGCTTTGTTACACTTTTCGAAGGTAGGAAGTTAAGAGTTATGATCACTGCCACTGAGGACAGAGAGGTGTGTTGCCAGCATCCTCTGGGGTGAAGTTGGTGGCAGGAGCGGAGACATTAAGTCATGCTGCCTGCTCAGTGTTCTCCATCTCACAAGGGCACCGAAAGCTGCTTCTTACCTTTTGGGAGTGTAGCTCAGTGGATAGAATGCTTGCCTGGCTTGTGTAAAGCCCTAGTTCCCTCCCCAGGATGGTGTAAACTAGGCATGGTGGTGCATGCCTGTAATTCCAGCACTCAGAAGGTGGAGACAGGATTGGAAGTTCAAGGTCACCCTTGGTTATACTTACTGCAAATTGGAGGCTGACTTGGGCTGACCTTGTCTCAAAAGCCAAAGCAAAATCCCCCAAAACAAACAGCAAATGCTTACCCACTCAACGGAGATGGTAGTTTCAGCTTCTGTACACACATCAGCCTTTCAGACACTCTGTCACGCGCAGTATGCGATGCCTTAGAAGAGGCCCTCACTCGCTGGGCTGTCTCCATCCCCTAGGGTCTGTGAGAAAGGTAGGTGAGAAGCCTGCTGGCTCATCTGCTTGCCCACTCTCCCCCGTCTGCAGAGCTTCATGCTCCAAGCCACGGGTGTGCTGTTCCCTGAGTAAGAGACTGCTGCTCAGTCTTCTGCTCTGGGAATACCCCGTGTGGAAGCCCAGCTCCTGGCATGCTTGTCAGACCCCAGCCACCTTTTCCTGTCATCAGCTTACGGTTTGGTCATGTGTTAGGTGACACAGAGTCCACATAGCACATTAGACTTGGACTGTTGTCACGGACACCACCAGCTACCAAGTTCTTGGGTTTATGTGGGCTCACTCAATTCTGCACCTTCCTTTGGGGCAGGTGCTAATAATGTGTGTATGTGTGTGTGTGTGTATATATATATATTTGTTTGAGATCGGGGCTCTCTATGTAGTCCTAGCTATCCTATAGACCAGGCTGGCCTTGAGCTCACAGAGACCCTCCTGTCTTTGCCTCCCTGGATTATAAGCATGTGCCACCAAACCCACCAGCATACTAATCCATTTTTAAAAGGAGAAGCGTGAGGCTCAGAGTGACTGACTAGCTCGTCACACAGCTCCCTTGACCTGACTGTTTTCCTTCCCTTGCTTCCCACAGGAAAGAACACGTGTGCTAAAGTGGCGGGACTCGTGCTGAGAGTCCTTTCAGACCTCCTTGGCCATGAGAACCACGAGGTACTAAGCGGAGCTGCTTGCCCTGGGGTGGATTGGGGAACTGTAATGGTGACCTGGGTGCTTGTGACCTCAGAGGCAAGGGGCTGGCTTTGGGCAGTTGCTGTATTCAACATACATTCCTTCCGTATTTGAGGGTTCTCTGTGTATGTGTGTGCGTGCAAGTGCAATGGTGTGTGTGTTTATGTGTGTGTGTGTTTACTTGTGTGTGAGTGCACATGTGTGTGGGTGTCCGTGAAAGCCTGAATTTGATACTGGGTGTCTTCCTTTATTGCTCTCCACTTTATTTACAAGGCAAGATCACGAGAGCATGGACCTCCGAGCTCTTCTGTTCTGCTAGCCTGGCTAGCCAGCTTGCCTCCCAAGTGCTGGGATTATGGGCGCCACCACGCCTGCCCTGCTTTTACGTGGGTTCTAGGGATCTGAAGTCAGGCCATTCTGCCTGTAAAGCAAGCGTCTGTTAAGACTCCCCAACCCGTCCTCTAACCATGTTCGTAAGGAACTTTGCATCTCGTATAGTCTCAAACATCTTCCTCCTCACTTTCTGGTGCCCTGCCCCCACTGATCCAGCCAGGTCCTTGTCCCTCCTCACTTTCTGGTGTCAACTATCAGTCCTGGGTTCGTCCCCTGACATTAACACTCCTCCTGTCTCCTCTACCCTTTAATGTCAGTCTGTGGACGCGTGTGCCCTTAAGTACCTTTGGCGCTGTGTTTGTGTGGACTTACTTTGCATAAAAGATACTCCAACCTAGAGCTCATCAGTTGATGATTGTCCTCTGGCATTTGGTGACATTTCTCTGTTGTTTCATGGGTCTCAGTGCCTCAGTATCCTGGCTTTCACTGTGTCCTGGCACACACCTTATTTCTCACGGGCAGGCCTGTAATGGTCACAGCTCTGCTGATACAGTTGTCCTATGGTAAACACACACACTGAGCTACCATGGGACATGTGGCCCTTGTGGCTGCCAGCTCACAGCATATGCAGGGATCAAGTTGCCCTCCAGAATGACCCCATTACCACACAGCTGGTGTTACTTTATAAGTTTCCTAGCCATTTTAAAATATGATAAGTTAACAAAAACGTGGGTACAGGTGATTCATCTCTTACTTACAAATATTTTTCCAGAAATAATAGCATCTTACAGAAGTCCAGCCTGGCCTCAAACTTGCAATTCCCTTCCCTCAGCCTCCAGAGTACTGGGCTGATGGCAACACTCTGCCCCTGCACTGAAGCTCAACCCAAATTAGACATGTGTTGACACAGGACATCTTTCAGCAGGCATGATTGGCAGGACCTTTGGATCAAGAAGAGCATTAGGTTGCCCTGCATCTGTTCCCATTTCAAGCGGGCAGCTCTGGTCTAGTTCTTTTCATGGACAGCTACATTCTCCTACAGCTGCATCACCTCACTGACATTAGGTGGCTGTTAGAGTTCATGCTGGGCCTTTTATATTTCAAAGCCAGCAAGTTTTTCACAACTTCAGTCCTGGCTCATGGCTCCCTGAGTCTCTTCTTCATTGTGTTCAATGCAGGCAGGTGAGCCCTGCAGGAGCCACAGTCTTTCTGAGACTTAATGGATGCTAATACCTTAGCCCAGAGGAGTCGTTCTCCTCATCAGCGGGCACCAGTGCCTTTCTTAAGAGCAATAGAACCTTGTCCAGCAGGCGCAAAGCCATGCCTTCAATCCCCAGGGCCTCATAAACCAGGCACCCTAGGACTTGGGAGGTAGAGGAAGGAGAGTCAGAAGGTCAAGCTCATCATCAGCTCCATAACAAATTGAAGCATGCCTGTCTCAAAAAGAAAAGGTACAGCTGGGCGGTGGTGCACGCCTTTAATCCCAGCACTCGGGAGACAGAGGCAGGTGGATCTCTGAGTTCGAGGCCAGCCTGGTCTACAAAGTAAGTTCCAGGACAGGCTCCAAAAGCTATACAGAGAAACCCTGTCTTAAAAAACAAACAAAAAACAAAAAAACAAACAAAAACCTTGTAAAAAAAAAAAAAAAAAGTACTTAAGTACACGTGTATTCTGGAAAAGTGGGGGTGCAGCAGACAAAAGTTGCCCCTGTGTATCCTGTGTTAGATAACCCTGGTCTTGAAAGATGAGACCCAGGGTCATCAGGAAAAAGATGCTTGTACTTGTGTGCACATTAGTATTTTGGGGGTATGGAGAAAGTGGTTCTTGTCAAATTGAATAGGCAAGACGGCTCAGCTGCATGGTAGTTGGATCACAGGGCAAACTTCAGAAGTGGGGTCTAGTTTAGAGACAGTGTATCCTCAGTTATGACAGTGACATCTGAGCAAGGACAGAAGCAGCAGATGAGTGTCCTGGCACGGGCGTGTGGGTTCACGCAGTCCATGGAATGAAGACTCAGGCATCTTAAGATGAATCTAGCCTTTCATGGCTGCAGGGAGGTCCAGCCTAGAAGGACTGAAGCACTATCCCCTCACCTAGGGCAGTTTCATTTCTCTCCAGTACAGTTTAGCCAGTTAATTTCCATGTGCTCAAAACAACCTGAAAGGGGCTCCCAACAATACCATGCCAAGTGCAAATTCCTCGATTTGTCAGGTACCAGGTTTTCCGGGTTTCCTGTACCAAGTTTTGCATAGACCTTTGTATCCTTGGGAAACTCCGAGACAAGATTCACATAGAGGGCAGCAAGGGAAACAAAAGACGGATTGGGGCTGGGTGCTGCTCTCTGGAGCCAGGCCTGGTGCAGCTCAGCAGGAAGGCCACCACGGGGAAGCAAGAGCTCTTAGCAATAATGGCCAGAGAGGAAATATTGGGAATAAATAGCAGAATCCATGATGACTCCCAAGTTTCTGATCTGGGTGACCAGGATGCTAGAAAATACACTAGTTAAGCAGTGACATGTGACAGGAAGCAGGTTGAGAGTGGGTGGTGAATGTGCATTCTGGGTTCTGGAAACAGAGAAACCAGCTCTCCCTTAGCTAGACTCTTCCTGAGTCTGGCATCTGGTAATTGAGTTGTTAGTATTTGAAAACTTGCAAATAAATAACTGGTCTTTTTTTCTCCCCTTAAAGATACAGCCATATGTGAATGGAGCCCTGTACAGCATCCTTTCCATCCCGTCCATTCGGGAGGAGGCCAGAGCCATGGTAAGAGGATGTGCCGAGCTGGCCATGTGGTTTACAACCTCGGTACTTGGGAGGCTGAGGCAGGAAGATCTCTGCAAGTTTGAGAACAGCCTAAACTACATAGTGAGTTTGAGGCCAGTCTGTCTCACGTGAGACTTTCCTGTGAGACCCTGTCTCACACACACACACACACACACACACACACACACACACACACACACACACACACACAGAGCCCTGAGCAGTTCCAAGGCTCCTCCCGGCACCATAAGTCAGAACTGTGGCTATCTCTACTCCCTCCAGGGCAGGCCTTTACATGGCTTACAGACTCCCTAAAACTATATATAAAAGATAGATTTGTGGTTTTCTCAAGGGAGAATCTGTTGTTTCTATCAGAATCTCACAAGGATCCCTACATTGTAAATGGTAAAGAGGTGTTGGGAGGATTCTAGCAGGCTTATTTTTGCAATGTTGGAGGTGTTTCTGGGCAGTTTATAAAGCTGCTTGGCATCTCAATTGCTGGTAAATAGAGTTTTACTTACTTTGTTTACATTTGGGCTTATATTTGAAGTACAACAACAACAACGGCTGTGTGATTAGCGTCTTATTTGAGAGGACAGTTGTTTCTAAAGCTAGTTAGCCAGCAAAACCACTAAAGCTTTGGCCCTTTTCCTGATGCCGTGTGAAACCAGAGTGCCTGTGTGCATATTCAGTTCTGTGGTGAGGGATTAAATGTGTTTCCATGCTCAGAACACAGGAGACCACAAGAACATTCCACCCTATGGTTTTGTTTTTTTAAGAGAATTACTAAATCTTCTAGTTGTCAACAGTTAAACAAGACATGACTCAGTTTAGAACTGTCTATGTGAATACACCCAACAATGGAACTTAACTGCCTTCAGTATTAAAACTAACTAGTATTTAGGGGTGGCAAGATGTCTCACCTGCCACCAAGCTGAATTCTACCCCAGAACCAGAATGGTAGAAGAGAATTAATTCCTGGGAGTTGTTCTCTGACTTCCACACGCACACCGTGGTATTCTCTGCTTTTTCTGTGCCGGGACAGGGGCTTCCTCCTAGTCAGCCTCTCAGAGGTCCCTGAAGTTGGACTGACTGTGTTGTGTCCATTTTCTTGCTCATGACTTTGAAGTAGACTTCTCTACCTAGAGTCACATGGCCGGGGGTGAAAGGGTGATAAATGGCGCTGGCTACTGTGTGGAAAGGTCACGACAGAACCCAGTATTAGATTTAGAGCTTTATTAGGAGTAAGAGGGGTGGGGGAGAAGAGCCAGGCCTGGGAAAGAGCACGTGTGGAGGGCAGAGAGAAAGATGGGGGGGAAGAGGCAGAGAGAGGGCAGGGTCTGCGTCTGGCCTTTTAAGGGCTCCCGGTGTAGAACGACACCACGCATGTGCTGATTGCTGACCACGCCGCACACATAGTCACCAGTGCACACTGATGATGTAAGACGCAAGACCCTTTGCTTAACTCCTGAACCGCGCATGTGTGGTCATGTAGCTGGAGTGAGGGCAGAATTCTAACATTCCAGACTTTTTGCTTATTATAAAAAAGCGAGGGAACAGGAATAGGGGCGTCGTTTCTCCCAGAAAAACTGCTTCCAGCTGACCTGGTGGGCGTCCGTTGGCTCTTGTTGGGTATAGGGAAGGGAGCTTCTGAAGTGGACAGGTGTCCTGGGATGTGGGATGTCTGTTGTCTGCTGCCCTGAAGTTGTCTGTCCTTTCTGGCTCAGAACTCTTTGGCTGACAGGATACTGGTGAGACAGAATAAGCTTAGGAAAAAAGAATCATTATGGTTTTTATTTTCTTTGGAGTGTTCTCTGACCAGGGGAGTTTGTTTGGCACTTATCTGAAGTAGATCCGACCTGTCCAGATGGATTTAAGCTGGTTTCTGGAGCTTGGGGAAAATTTTGAACATGTTAAGAAGCAGCTGTCAGAGTTCCAAACCAGAAAGGACAGACAACTTCAGGGCAGCGGAACACAGACAGCCCGCCATCCCAGGACGTCAGAAGCTCCCTTCCCTATCCTCCCCAAGAGCCAACCGACGCCCACCAAGGTAGCTGGAAGCAGTTTTTCTGGGAGAAACGACACCCCTATTCCTGTTCCCTTGCTTTTTTATAATAAGCAAAAAGTCTGGAATGTTAGAATTCTGCCCTCACTCCAGCTACATGACCACACATGCGCTACATCATCAGTGTGCGCTGGTGACTATGTGCACATGCGTGGTGTCGCTCGGTACCGGGAGCCCTTAAAAGAGCTGGACGCAGACCCCACTCTCTGCCCTCCCCCCAATCTTTCTCTCTGCTCTCCGCACATGCTCCTTGCCAGGCCTGGTTCTCTTGTACCCCACCCCCTCTTCCTCCTAATAAAGCTCTCTAACGAGGTAGTCGTGGCCGTGACTTTTCCACACGGTAACCAGTGCTGCCACCAGCGCCGTTTGTCTTCCTTTCGAGGGGCACCTGTGCTTTCTTCCAGAGCTTTCCACACCTGTGCTGCGGTATCACACCAGAAATTAAAACTACCCTCCCTCCCCCTCCCTCTCTCCCTCTCCTCCTCCCCCCTCCTCCCCCCTCTCCTCCCTTCCTTCCTCTCTCTCTCTCTCCCCCTTTCCCGGAAGTACCAGGGATGAAACTAAGGAGGCTTAGTGGCTGAGCAAACACTCTGCCACTGCGCCTCCTCCCAGCACTAACACCATCTTTAGTCCAGTGAGAAGCCTGGCCATGGTGGATTCTTTCCTCTCGCTGTAGTGCTGTTGCCTCTGTTGGGACAAGCTGAGCGTCCCTCATACAGGAATTCAGACTACAGGGGCAGAGAGATGGCTCAGCAGTTAGGAGCACCTGCCACTCTTCTTGGGGATCCAAGTTCAGTTCCCATCACACACAGTGGGCAGCTCATGCCCACCTGTAACTCCAGTGTTCTCTTCTGGCCTCTGAGGACACCTGCACACGTGTGGCTGGCATGAGTGCATACACATACTCGTATGTGCACATACACATAAAAATGAAATCTTTAAAACATATTTGTTATCTTAAATGTATGCATTTGAGAATCAATGATGAACATATTCATTAACAAATTCCAATTAAAAAAAGTACAGAATCTGAAATGCTCCAGAATCAGAAACTTTTTGAGCACTGACATGAAGCCACAGATGGAAAGTTCTCACCATGAAACTTTCATTCACAAAACTGTTGCAAATGTTGTTATAGCCAGGTCAGGTAGTGCATGGTCCTAGCACTCAGTAGACAGAAGCAGGAGGATCATAAGCTTGAGGCCAGTGTGGGCTATACAGTGAGACTGTCTCAAAAATAACAACAGGTTGTGTGTGTGTGTGTGAGTGTGTGTGTGTGTGTGTGTGTGTTACTATGTAATATAGGTATACTATGTAAAATTATCTTGAGGCTACATATAAAAGGTGTGTGAAACTGTGAAATATAAGTGAATTTTCATTAGACCTGGGTTCCATCCCTAAGATGTCTTATTATGTCTATGCAGATATTCCAGAATCTAAAAGATGCAGACCTTTCTGATCCAAGCATTTCCACCAAGGTTGACTCGGCTTTGTTTTCCCTGTTTTCTGTAATGATAGCTGAGCTGAGTTCCTCCTTCCTTTCTGCGTGGCACACTGTGTGCTCGGAGACACCCAAGTGGCTAACGATGAGGCCCTCTCACCCCACGTCATCTGCGCAGGTTGATCTGAAGTGCCAGGTTATTGCTTTTAAGATGATATACCAGGGTTTGTTGTTTATTTTTGCCAGCAGGGTCTCACTCTAACCCAGGGAGGCCGGTGCCCTTGGTCCTCCTGCCTTGGCCTCCTGAATGCTAGGATTACAGGCGTGTGCCGCCACGCCCAGCAGAATACTGTTAGTTTTTATGCCCACTCATTTCTATAATTTAGATTAAACATTACCTACATATGTGGTCTTAAAAAAATATGTGGAAGTTTTCATTGGAGTATTTGCTGTGAAGAAAGTGTTCAAACAATCCTCCTAACTACAGAGGGATTGAGCTGTTTGTTTTCCACGTGCTTAACTAAGCCGGACACGTAAGAATGAGAGTCAATTAGACTAAAATGATCTATAAAGATGTGGGCAGATAATCCTCACAGGATTGCCTCTGGGAGAAAAGAGTTTGAATGAGTTCTTTGTCTCCGGCTATTCCTAAGCTGCTCAGTAACCATTGTGGTTATTGGCATGTTGAGGTTGAGCACATGACTGTCTCCTAATAATAGTTCCCTAACTCACTCTTGTGGGGATGGGAGTGGGGAAGAGTCCACTGTGTGAGACAGGGACAGAACGGTTAGCCTTTCTGGCAGACAAGAACTAAGGCAGACTGTGGTCGGTGGCTGTGGGACAAGCCCAGATACCTGTCGGGCCCACAGTGTCTCAGTCCTCTGGGACAGCCATCACTTGTTCCTGACTTCAGACTATTCATCACGGTCTGCTCTCTCGAGGCGTCCTGTCCCTGCCTCATGTGGAGTGCCTTGTCCTCTGAGGTTCTGGCCCAGCCCTTGGTTCTTCTCACTGTACCCACCTCATTTACTCAGGGCCTCAGCTGCAGTCTCACCTGGGCCACAAGTCCCGCCCAGACCCAGCAGGGCGTCCCACCACTCACTAAGCTCCCCCTTGAGCATCCACTGCACTAGACACCGTTTCTTAGGTATAACTTGCAAAAATGGGGTGCTCAGGTCTTACATACAGTTACATACAGGCCTTACCTTTTGAGAGACACAGACATCCACAGAAGTAGTACCAATGATCTATCTTATCATTGGTTGAGAATTTGAGTGATTCAAGTAAGGTAGAGTTGGGACCTAATTCCGGAGCCGAGATCACATTCCAAACTCACCGTGATCAGAGCTAAATTCTGATCTACATTCTGTAGAGCTAGTACTTGTAGACCAGCCTCTTTAGAAGGAGAACACAACTGAGCATGGTGGCGCACGCCTCTAATCCAGCACTCAGAAGGCAGAGGCAGGAGGATTTCTGTGAGATTGAGACCAGCCTGGTCTGTTTATATAGTGAGTTCCAGACCAGCAGGACTACATAGTGAGACCTTTCTCGAAAGAAATAAATAAGTTAATTAATGAAATTGAAAAATAAAACACGGAGCACACTGGCTCATATCACCACAAACTCAAGGGCATGTGTTAGGCAGTGGATGATGGCGGTTTGTCTGCCAGTGAGCCGGCCTCTCTGGACATCAGTCCCTCCGTTTTGGGTTCTCTCTTAGACATATTTCCCCTCTTGGTCCAGCAGAGCACATGCACCCACTCCAGTTCTTCAAGGACAGAGGAGGGAGGGCCTAGTCCTCTACTGTTAGCATCTCATCTCCAAGTTTGCTTTGGTTCTCCTAGGTGGAGTGGGCAGTTGTAGTGTCACTGGGCTGCAGTGGCACAGTGTGACAACTGTCATTTGTAGGGTTTCTCTTTCAGTTTTATGTGTATGGATGTTTCACCTGCACGTATGTGTGTGTACTTGCACACCTGGTGCCCAGGGCAGCCAAAAGAAGGTGTCAGATGCCCTGGAACTAGAGTTCTAGACAGTTGTGAGCTGCCATGTGGGTGCTGGCAATCAAACCTGGGTCCTCGGTGAAGTCAGTATCGCTTTTAACCATCTAGCCATCTCTCCAGCCCCGTCGTTCTTTCTTTAAAAATTTAATAAGGCTGGACCTGGTGGTGGCCTATGTCTTTAATCCCAGCACTTGGGAGACAGAGGCAGGTGGATCTCTTTAAAGTTTAAAGCTAGCCTGGACTATATAATGAGTTTCAGGCTAGCCAGGGCTACATTGTAAGACCTTGTCTCTGAACGCCAAAGATGTAGTTAATGTATTTGGAAGGCGGGACAGGATGGCGGGACGGCATGCGCACATAGAGGCGTCAGTGGATGACTTTGCATGTGTTGGTCCCTTCCCACCGTGCTTTGCGGCCATGTCCGTCTGGTGTCTGCTGCTTCCTGCGCACTCCAGCCTGCCTTACCGTCCTGCTTCTACCTGCTGTCTCACGGATGAGGGCCGGGATTACAGATGTGCACTGGCACATCTGGCTTTTTACGTGGGCTCTGGGGTCGTACTCAGGTCACCAGGCTTGTGCAGCCGGTGCTTTTACCGGCCAGGCCATCTCCCTGGCCTCTCCGTCATTCTTTTGATGAAGTGAGAATTGCGGTTGTTTGAAAAAGCCTCTATTTCTTCAAAACATGTGGTTCAGCTTTTCAAAGATCATAAATGACCCTTAGGGAAACCGTGGGAAAGAAGTCACTCCCCAAACTGTGTGTCTCCCACACTAAAGGCATTAGTGGACATGTACCGTGAGTGCTGGGGACAGGCATACAGTGCAAGCTCACGGGCTTTTCAGTTTCTTCTAAGTGTATTATAATGTTATAATTAAATTGAGATAGTCAACCAAGAAGAAAACAATTTCACTGTGAATTTTAAAATGAATGTTTAAGGGCTGGAGAGATGGCTCAGTGGTTAAGAGCACTGGCTGCTCTTCTAGAGGTCCTGAGTTCAATTCCCAGCAACTATATGGTGGCTCACAACCATCTACAATGAGATCTGTTGCCCTTTTCTGGCCTGCAGGTAAACATACAAGCAGAACACAATAAATAAATAAATCTTAAAACAATAAAATAAATAAAATGAATGTTTAATACCAAGCAGATAATTTAATTTTAAATAGCCTTTCCCCAAAAGAAGAAAAAAAATAACCTTTTGGCTGGGATGAAACTACCCCACTGAAAGAAGTCTCCCTGTCTCAACGCTGGCTGTCTCTTCACTGCCCTAGGGAATGGAGGATATCCTGCGATGCTTCATCAAAGAAGGCAGCGCCGAAATGATCCGCCAGATAGAGTTCATCATCAAGCAGCTGAATTCCGGTCAGTTTCCTGCCAGATCTCTGTCTTATCTTTTGAATTGGTCACACGTGTCAAAAGGTGCACAGGCTTTCTCAAGTTCATGGTGCCTGATGTCATTCAGGAAGCTTTTGAGTCAGATGTGGTGGTGCACATCTGTGATCCCAGCACTAGAGAAGCTGAGGCAGGAGGATCATGATGAGTTCAAGGTCAGCTTAGACTACATAGTAAGATACCATCTCAAAACATAAAAAAGAAGTCTCCAAAGAAAGTAGGGGCCAAGTCAATACATGAAAGTTCAGCCGAGGGCTAGAGTGTGACTCAGTAGGACGGTGTGTGCCTGACCTACAGAAGGCCCTGGGTTCCATATCCACTATCTCACACGCGCACACGCACATGCACACGCACACACACACCCCGCAAAGGGGATGTGAGAGCCAGGGAGAGAGCTCTATCACTAAAGTGCTTGCTGTGCCAGTGTAAGGACCTGAGTGTGAACACCAGCACCCATGTAAGAAAGCCAGGCATGGTGACACGAGCTTGTGATCCTAGAAGTGGAGAGCTGGAAACAGGCAGAGCCCTGAGGCTCACTGGCCAGCCAGCCTAGCCTGGGTCCCAGAGAGAGACAGTGTCTCAGCAAACAAGATGGACAGCTCCTGTGGAATGACATGAAGGGTTGACCCCTGGTCTCCACATTCACACACACACAAACGCGTGTGTGCACCCTTCCCACAAGTTTAGCCAGGTAGTCAAGGTCAGATTGTCCATATTAACACCTCTTATCACAATAGAGATCTCTTATCACACTAGAGATGTGTGGTCAACAAAAGGGAGGTGAGAGCAATTCCTGAAACCTTCTCTTCACTTGTAAGATCTCTTTACGAGCCCCTCCTGTCCCCTCTTAAATCCTGTCCCACTGATAAGGGCAACGTTCCCAGGTCCTACGGCCAGTTAGTGAAACAGATGCCAGTCTTTCTAGAACCATGTAGAAAATGCCACCATGTCACCATTCCAGAAAATGTGCAGGGGCCACCTGGCAGCAGGGAGGAGGCGGCATGGTCCCCTTCTTTCCAGCCTCCTCCAATGCCATGATACACATCTGGCAAGAGAAGCAGAGAAGCCTTGTGTGAGGGATAGGGAAGCCCCTTTCTCTGTCTGTGGACTCTTGACACATAGTTCTCGCCTATCTCCTGCCTTCCCTGGCACCAGCAATACAAGTGCACAGTTCTATTCAGCACACAACAAAAAAGGGAAATGCCTACATGTAGCCACTCAGGGCTCCCAGTCTGGGCTGTGTCCATGCTTACTAACAAAATCATAGTCCTGGGGGAGGGGAAGCTCTGACATCCTCAGGTTGTCCCAGCAAGGTGGGGAAGCTCTGACATCCTCAGGTTGTCCCAACAAGGTAGGGAAGCTCTGACATCCTCAGGTTGTCCCAACAAGGTAGGGAAGCTCTGACATCCTCAGGTTGTCCCAACAAGGTGGGGAAGCTCTGACATCCTCAGGTTGGCCCAGCAAGGTGGGGAAGCTCTGACATCCTCAGGTTGGCCCAGCAAGGTGGAGCACTGAGAATCCTAACGGAAAATTTCAGCCTGGCACAGAAACGTGCAGACTGTGCAGCCAACATCAGCAGGGAGGTTTTTCCCCTGGCTGAGGCCCAGGCCACAGCTCCAGCTGTCCGTGAGGGTAGCCAGTGGATACTAGCTCGTCCTAGAGAAAGGTCAGCCAATATACCGGGCAGGAGCAAGGCAGAGCAGGACCCCAGCTTCAGGTTGTGCTAGTTACCAAGGGAGTGCCCTTGTAAGGCATGCACCAGCTCAGGAGCAGTGAGGACACGATTGTCCCAGGAGGAGAACTGAGGCCTGTAGGGACTCCAGCTCATAGGCCTGGAGGGTTCTGGCTAGTAAGGATGTCTGAGCCAACAAGTTAAGAGATGATAGGGTTGAGGACTGGGAACTGGACTGGGGGTCAGAGTGTCTGACTGCGGGGCCTTAGCATATGCGAACAAAAGGAGTCTGTAATTGGTGACGTAGCAGTAGTGCCTCTTTGGAAGGCATTGCCTCATCGTGGACAGGAGTGTGCTTGCTGTCCACCAGCAGAGAGAGTCAGATGATTAAAGCACTGTCTGGATAGCCCGCATTGAGACCATGGTGCAGGTCAGGCGGGGGCAGCTGTGTAAGACCCAGTGGAGGGACAAACTTCTGAGTTCTGCTGGCTCTGGACCGGGAGAGGCAGCATCGACCTTCCCTTGGAATAAGGAGGTGTCCGCATGGCTGCTTGCTTCATGTGGTTTGTCTGTCTGCCTGCTTCTTGGTGGTCGGCAGTCTCTTCAAGTGGGGTCTTAGTTCCCTCTTTCTCCCATTTCTTTCTTCTCCCAGGCTTTCTTGACCTTCATGTCTTGCTTTCAAGGAATAAAAATCTAATGAAGAAGATGTAGTAGGGACATAGGGAGAAGTTAGTTAAGTCCTCTGCCTTCAGGGAGTTCTGATCCAGAAGAGTGGGTGGGAAAAGATCTCCTAGGGTTCTCTCAAGGAACAGAACCAATGGAAAGTGCGTGCGTGCGTGCGTGCGTGCGTGCGTGCGTGCGTGCGTGCGTGCGTGCGTGCGTGCGTG